GTCCTGCAGTTATTGCACAAAGCTGTTCTCTGAAACTACCCTTTATTCTTGGTTTCTCAAGCACATTGGGCAAAATGCTACTATCACATCAGTATATCTGTAGTGACTTCAGTCATATTTCTTCGGTGTAGTCAGCTTCCAACTGACTGTGTGTATGCGTCCCTTATCATTTCAAGTTACCACAGAAACCTCACAGGCCACAATTAGCTGGGGACAGGACTGTCTGCTGCCTTGCACCTTGCATAGTCATTTTCATGGGCTGCCTAATAGCTTTCCCACAATGTATCTTTTCTTCAGAAACTGACAGCTTGTCCACCATGTATGCCTTTTTAGTGATTTTCCAGTTTGAGTCATTTGGGAGGTTGAGGGTGGCAGATGCCGAAATATCCTACTTTGACATTTTCCAAATGAGATTTTATTGCTGGTTTGAAATGCTTTCTTGTTTCTGAAAAATATTACCCCCTACTAAAAAGGGGGGGTTGAAAAAGTTGAAAGTAGAATAAAACTGTTTGAAATTGTAGAAACAAAATGTTCCAGTTCAACATGATTCAAAAGATTTCTGGGTAATTACCATTTTGATGGTTTTATCCTTTTAGAAACCCTAAATCCATTTGTAAATACCCATTCCCTATCCTGCTTTGATGGCTGAGGGAGAAGGGTATGAAATGCAACCCCAAATGCTCTGTTCAAAAATCCTGTCGGCCCCATTCATCGCTCTGCATGGAGCACCTTGTTTTGACTTCACAAGTTCTCTCAGGTATATTCTTTCCCAACACAAAAGACTGTATGCATTGAGTTTCCTGACATAGGATCACATCTGAGGCATTTTTACCACAGGGTATTCTGCTTGGCAAATAGGATCATGGAGTAAAAGAAGGGCCACAAATGTGTGACGTGTCAGTCTTCCTGGAAGGGGATTTGAGGTGGAAGCCAGTTGCAAGTCTTATATACTGTGAGTGAGACGTGAGAGGCCTGTTTTATAATTGCAGTAACCAGAAGAGCTAGTTAATGACTTAATCTGGTGATTTAGTTCTATGAGATTTGTACAACAATGTTTCTAAGAAAGAGTAAGATGTTAGGAACTCTTTGCTTTTAAGTGCAAAATAAGAATCTACCGGATTGCTTTCACTAGACAGAATTTTTGCACAAAAAACTTGGATACCTCAGTCGCTCAAGCTGAAGTGCTAGATCCAGGGTTTTCAAGAATTACAAATTATTTGGGGGAATCTTGATTTTGCTCCCATAAAAGCAGCTGACATGGAATTTACACAGCAAATCTGGGCATCCAATGCCCTGGAGACACCCTAGAGCATCACTTCCAGCTACTGCTTCAGAACAGTATGGGTCTCCTGCAGGTCCTGTGCTATAGGGGGTTATCTCAGATACCTTAAGGCATCTCAAATAGGTCTAAATGCCAGTATGGGTGGCCAACTAAATTAAGCCCACACTGTTTTTCCTGAACACTACCAGGAAATAAAAATCTTCAAAGACATCCCGAGATGGACATATGAAACAGAGGCACACCAAAGCAGAGGCACTAAGAATCACTACATTCCACTTGAAAAATCTTAGAGCTTGCACAGATTCAACTGTCAACACTGTATGTTTCTTATTGCTGGGACTAAGAGCTGCTAGCATGATAACAAGGAAGTGTATGAACAAGAGAGATGTCATGGTTACAGAAAGAAAGCTTGATGACGCCAGCATAACCACAGAGGAGTTTTGTATGTTGCCCAGTGGTAGCCTGGCACTTAGTTGTTTTCTTTGCCAGCAACAGTCTGGTTTAGCAGCTCATTAGAGAAAACACACAAGAGCTAGACAGCATGATCCAAAAACAAAAAAACAAAGGGGTATTTTTTTAACCTCAGTTTCTTCTGCTTTATCACATACATAACCGCAGCACATTTTTGCATCTTCTTTGCAGGTTCCCAGGAGAGCAGCTGCTTTAATGTAGTGTAAACTTTCTTACTATCCTGGTACTTTTAGCTTCTCTCTGCCCATCTCTTCTCTTTCAGAGCTACATCCTTCCCACATGTTATGAATATACCAACTTCTGTCAATCCTTTCTAACAAACAATCTAGAACAAATCTTCATCTTGGGTCATCTCTCAGGCTTGATTTTTAGATAATGTTTGGCCATTTATGATGCTTTTCTCTTTTCTTCTAGTTTTGCAAGTTTTAAAGGTCAGAAGATTTTATCAGTCAGATGCCTCAGAGTGCATAATGTATTTGAATATCTCCACAGTTGTATAGTTCTTATGTGAGTTAACTCCAAATAGGCTTATAAAATGTTGCAAGTTAATATAGGGCTTCTTGTTGTGATCTCCTTCTCTTCTCTGTAACGCTCATACAATTTAAAGGAAGTCAACGGAATTTCTTTATTACATGTAAGAGATGTATCTTGGTATGTAGCACATCACCAGGGTAATAAAACTCTGTTCATAGGCTGACTGATTCCTTCAAAGTGATACCACATTTTCAGTTTGGGCTGAAAGCATGTGCTTACACTCACACCCACCCAATGTCCATTGTGTCCCTCAGTGGGATCCCTGCATATGCAGATGAAATCTTCTACACAGAGTTACTTCATCTGCACATAGCCTGACAATTGTCTACTTTGACATGAAAAAGCAAATTTCTCTGCAAGCCATTTTGTCCAATTCTGAAAATATGTTCCACTGCTGTATTGTATTTTCAGGCCTACTTGTTACCCCTGCATGGCTGCTATCAAGACAGAGAGCAGATTTGTTACTTGCTCAGCCAACTACTTGGCGATTCCCTATAGGTAACAACTTCCCAAGTGCTACAAAACTGGTGTACTGATTCTACAAAGGCACCTTCTCTGGAGGGTCACATACTGGAGCATAGCCCAGGGAATAAAGCAGTGTATGAACGTATGGGTTAGTGCAAGGCTATTCCAAAATAAGACAAAGAACTAGATAGTCTTTCTGCTAACTACGGGTACAAAGACTATGACATATACCGCCAGTGCTCCTGTGGCAAGTATAGTTCACCCACAGTCCTTTGTTATAACTGTGGTAGGTAGATACAGCATTTTGTCATTACCTCTGCTATTCTGGTGAGGAATTTCAGAGCCAAGTTTCCCAGTACACAAGTCAAAGAATTTTCTGATAAACCGTGTCTCGCACATATGTCCAGTTTTGCATCCTGTGCTGAACTTAGTTGCGGAGAAGTAGCTGATCAGCTGTACTGAAACTAATATCTCTATGCACTTTTAAAGGAACTGTTTATTTTTACCCAGAGTACAGGGGAACCAAAAAATACCTCAGAGATTATTTTAAAGGAGACACTCTTATCGTTCATGTGGTCTGAAGACCCACAAAGGACTAATGCAGGCAAGGTTTACAATCCCAAGTATTTAGTTGATTCAGTGGATGAAACAGTTTCTCATGAGCTCTTACCTCCATGTCTATGGGCAGTCTGGATATATGTATAATTCAGCAGTGTCCTATTTTGTGCTGTCAATGTAGAACAGTACCGATGATACTCTCTGAATAACTTCATGCTGCAAAAAAGCTGTCGTATTGCAGGGTTAGATTGTTTTATTTTTAATCTTTATGGATTATCTCTCTGAATTCATATTAGTACCTTCTTTTTTTTTCTTTAATTTTGTCCATTTCTGCTTGATCTTACAGCAATTGCTATCAAAATTTTCTGTTGTGCTACCTCAGATAAGTAGAATTCTTTCCTCCGTCTCTTTAAGGAACTTTCTTTTTGAATTTCACATTGAAACTTAGCATCAGAATTAACAAAAGGCTTTAGTTTTCCAAGATGTGTCACATACTGTCTCAGTCCAGTGGTGTACTCAAGCAAGAATTTCAGCTGATATGTCTAAGCAGTGTTAATAATATTACATATACATGTAAATACATTCTTAATAAATTCTAGGGGAAATTTAGAGAACTTCAGAATCATTTAGTAAATCATTTGTGTTTTAGGCCATGAGAAATCACACCTGTTGGCCTAAAGCGTGCTACCTAAATTCCATGTTTGAAGCTGGAACCTAAATATGAGCTAAATCTGTATCACTTTTTTAAAGAATATTTCCTTGCTTTTTGTGCTCTTTGCGAACCCCATGACCCCATTTGTTCTCTGAGATTAAATGTTGCTTGTAATCATGAATATCATACAGATATTCAACCTGAACAACTTGGGGGGGGGGGGGGGGGGGGGGGGAGAA